ACGAGAGCGGGCAACCAGGGCCGGGGCGACCGACGGCGAGGAAATCTTCATCGAGTCGGAGGCGCGACATCGCGCGCAAAGAGTGAAGGATACCTAGCGGGACCTGATCAGACTCGATCGGGGGCCAGCCGCGCGTGGCGATAGACCCCGGACACTTTCACAAAACTCTACGCATGGCTGCAGGAAATAACACATCCGCACGAATCAATAGAGATGCGCATCAAGGGAAGGACCAACGACATTGAGATACAGCAGTGCGTGGGACAGGCATGTATGACCTCGCCCTTGCGGACTTGCGGGGAGCATGCGCCCTCGGGGGAGACGCCAGCGCGGGGTCCGGAGCGGCCAGACCGACTACGACGGCGGAGCCGCCTACGACGAGGCAAATCAACAAGTGGACGGAGATGACCGACAGGCTGATGCGAGTGACGAGGAGGCAGCTACTCGACGAGGCGGTCAACTGCGACAAGATCGACTACGATAAGATCGACAACGACACGAGCGAAGACTTTACTCGTAGCACGCGCCAGCCCCATCATATTTGTCCTTCACCATGGTGCGCCCGCCCATGGCAGCGTGTCCAACCGCAGTGCGGCAGCGTTTCACCAGCGTGCATGTGTTGGCACCGTTCGAAACTGATACATGGTTTTTGCCTAACAGTTTTTGCTGATAGGTTTCTAGTGGTATCCAAAGAACATCTTGACACCCCAGGGGGGTCTGGGCGGGAACCGGATGCGGGAACTGGACAAACCCGGCAGCCACAGGAATCCTTACGAATCCTTAGGAATTCTGAGGAATCCTTAGGAATCCATTCCCAGAACACCATTCCCAGGCCACATTTTGAATGCCCGGAGCCAACTGTAGGCCACTTCGTGTTCTTCGTCGTCCCAGAACACCATTCCCAGGCCACAGTTTGAATGCCCGGAGCCAACTGTGGGCCACTTCGTGTTCTTCGTCGTCCCAGAACACCAGTCCTGTGCCACATTTTGAATGCCCAGAGCCAACTGTAGGCCACTTCGTGTTCTTCGTCTTCCCAGAACACCATTCCCAGGCCACATTTTGAATGCCCGGAGCCAACTGTAGGACACTTCGTGTTCTTCGTCTTCCCAAAACACTATTACCAGGACACATGTTGAATGCCCGGAGCCAACTGTAGGCCCCTTAGTGTTATTCGTCTTCCCAGAACAGCAGTCCTGTGCTATATTTTGCATGCCCGAGCTGAGGCAGGCTGAAGCCGAGGCAGGCTGAGGCCGAGGCAGGCTGATGCTGAGACTGAGGCACGCCGAGGCAGGCTGAGGCTGAGGCTGAGGCAGGCTGAGGCTGAGGCAGGCTGAGGCCGAGGCTGACGCAGGCTGAGGCCGAGGCAGGCTGAGGCTGAGGCTGAGGCAGGCTGAGGCTGAGGCAGGCTGAGACTGAGGCTGAGGCAGGCTGAGGCTGAGGCTGAGGCTGATGCAGGCTGAGGCTGAGAGGCTGACGCTGAGGCTGAGGCAGACTGAGGCTGAGGCTGAGGCCGAGGCTGAGGCCAGCCGAGGCAGGCTGAGGCTGAGGCTGAAGCTGAGGCAGGCTGAGGCTGAGGCTGAGGCTGTGGCTGAGACTGAGGCTGAGGCAAGCTGCGGCTGAGGCCGAGGCTGAGGCTGAGGCTGATGCAGGCTGAGGCTGAGGCAGGCTGAGGCTGAGGCTGAGACAGGCTGAGGCTGAGACTGAGGCCGAGGCAGGCTGAGGCTGAGGCTGAGGCTGATGCTGAGGCAGGCTGAGGCTGAGACAGGCTGAGGCTGAGGCTGAGGCAGGCTGAGGCTGAGGCAGGCTCAGGCTGAGGCCGAGGCAGGGGAATCCTTCGGAATCCTTAGAATTCCTTCGGAATCCTTAGGAATCGCTAGGGATCCCTGATAATCAGGTTTCCTAAGGATTCCTATGGATTCCTAAGGATGCCTAAGGATGCCTTAGGAATCCCTAGGAATCCTTAGGATTCCATTGGATCCTAAGGCCGTTGCCACTGCGACTGTCATTGCGAATGCGACTGCGACTGCGACTGCGAGAACATCAGAATTCTACAACTGGATTCTCACCTGAATCTGAATGGGAATGCTTCCAAACATGCTTATACACCCGCTGTTAGGTTGCTTTGCCGGGATAATGTTTGTTCGTTCGCGATGGTGGTGCGCCCGCCCATGGCAGCAGCGTGTCCAACCACCGCCTGGAAAACGAAATAGAAGAAGCAATGTTGGCAGATCACCTGCTAGAGCGCGACGCTCTGCTGCTGCGACGACAGCAGCGCCCGCCTGTGGCGAGCCCCAGAGAACTGCATGCTCCTCCTCACCTCACGCCGGCGAGGAGGCGCATCCCTGGACCTGCATGGTTCCGCAGGCTATCGGCTCGAGGCATCTCAGCTTGATTTGACAGTGACGGGCGGCATGGAATCTCAAATGACGCAATCTCAGCCAGACTCGGCAGTGACTACCCAAAGTTTTGCACTCGGCCTGGATTAGTGACGACGCTGCTCCAGAGTGGCAAGCACGTGAGAGGGACGAAGAGATCTCGCAACTGTAGCACTTGTGGCCTTCATGCCATCATCCCTCACTGAAACGCTGCCCGATGGACTGGTGCTCGGAGTTCGCCCCCCGCTGTCTGAACACTCCACCAGGAGGGTCTGCCTGACCGCCTTCGCTGACTGGAAGTGGGTGCAGAGGGTGCGCGGCCCCTAGGGGAGGCACGCAGCCGCTGCGATGGTGCGCGGAAGATTGGTCCCAGCTTCCTTGAGAATTCTCGCGTTGTGTAAACATGATGTGGGGTATTCATCAGGCGGTGAAATATGATGTATCAGCCTCCAGCTGGCTGGCGACCGAAGTATTCATCAGCCTCCAGCTGGCTGGCTGGCGGCGATGAAAGTCTCGTCAGCGCGCAGCGGGGCCGCCCATGGCACCCTGCGATGCACCAGTTATTGTGTCCCGCCGGCCTGCCAGTGTCATGTCTGCTGTTGCGTCGTTCGCGATGGCACGCCCGCCCATGGCAGCGCGTCCAGCCGATGCGAGGCGCGGCGGGCCCTTCGTGAGCCCTCTGCCCATCGGGTGCGCCGCGCTGTGCGCCTGCACTTTCGGCATTGCTTGTAGAAAAAACTATTTCTCCTCCTCTTTCCCCTCCTCCTCCTCCTCCTCCTCCTCCTCCTCCTCCTCCTCCTCTTCCTCCTCCTCCTCCCCATCATCATCCGCGTTTCCCCCCAGCCTCCTCCTGAGGCTCTTGGAGCCGGAGGCTTGGCGCGCGCGGCCGTCAATGGCACCGCGTTTCCCTCCCTCCCCCCTCCCTCCTCCTCTTCTCCCGCCGCCTTCCCTTCCGCCCGCTCCTGCCCCGTCCGCCCCCTCCTCTGTCTCCGCCTGGCCTCCTGGCCAGGCCGACCCCCCTACTCGGCAGGTGGGGGGGTGGGAGAGGAATAATAATAATGGAGGAGGAAGGAAGAAGGAGAAGAACCTCCGCCTCCGCCTTATCTCCCTCCTCCCCCGGTGTACGTCGCGGCCGCCTCATGTTACAGAAATCTCCCAAAGAGGGGGGTCCTGTTACCTCCTCATGGGCCCTCGTTTGGGTCTTTTCCTAGAACGTGGGAAGCTCGTTTTCGCTACTCGTGGTGCACGAAACCCATGTTCAATCGGGAAGCGACTCTGGTTTTCAAATCTTCGTGTTCTGAAAGTCAGATTATGGTACGTTTGGAAAACAATGTCTTGGAAGGCGGAGCTGGCGTACATGCTGTTTTGCGAAGAGCGGACTCGTGCCATTCAGGGCTGGGGGTGTTCTCATCATCGTCTCGCGCGCCCCGAACCGTGTGTTGCTGGAAGCATATGGGGGTAGAAACCAATCTGCGAAACGGACGCGCGTGCGTTGTACGGACCCTTGGAGGAGGAGGAGGAGGAGGAGGAGGGGGAGGAGGGGGAAGCGTCCGCCCATAGGTCTCCGCTCATTGGTTTCCGCCCATGGGTATCCGCCACTGGGTCTCTGCCATAGGTCTTCGCCCATGGGTCACCGCAGCCTGGCTGTGCTGCACAGTAGATGCGCCGCCGCGACCTGCGCGGACAACCTAAGTGAAGGGAGGGGGGTCCGGCCCCCCTCTCTTCTCCTTCGGGCCCCTCCTCAGCGTGTCATTCTCCCCCCCCTGCTTTCGACCCAACGGCGCCCGCTCCGCATCCCACTCCTCCCTGCTCTTGCGGGCCAGCCATCTTGGCTCAGGATGTCAGCTGTGCTTAGCGCCCGCTTGGGGCACCTTCTGGCCGCACACTGCGTCCTCGACTCGAGCTCGGATGGCTCCGGGCGCCTCGCGCTCACAGCCGGTGGCATCGCGCCAGTCCTTCGAGACCTCGGCAGTCTCCGAGTGGTGCCGCGCTCCCCAGGGAAGGGAGACTCCCCTGGACATCGTTCCTGGACGGGCGGGCGAGGACACGCGAAACGTTGAGATTCCTCCAGCCGCCGACGGGTGCCATGGCAGCACTGGGTCCCCCAGATGGACACCATCGTGGCCTGCGAAACCCGAGAAAGGGGGACTGTGTACATCATGAGAGAAGGATGCGGGGCAGGTGCGGCTATGCGACTTCACCGTCAAAGCGCTTCGCTTGCCCAACCCTCCCCAAGAACTACGGGAACTAACCCGGAGTGATGAGTTCCTGGGATGGCGGTCCGCGACTGATCACGATGTGAGGATTGTACGCATGGTCGCACCAATTCTTAATGGCCCCTTATGTGATGACTGCCTTACGCGACAATGGTTGCCCGGCAACGGCTGTAAGGCCGTTGTTTTGCCCGGCGCGAGTGTGACTGGCTGCACCGGCGTGTGCCTGTGCGGGCGGAGTCCACAATCTGTACTCGCAGGCGTCTCAAACTGGGTCTGCACATAGGAGGTGGCACAAAATGTCGCCCGCCAGGGGCCACCTGGTTGTGAATGTCGTTTTTTCCTCCCGCCTCCACGGCCTATAAATGACCGGGTCGGAAAAAGGGTGGAAATGGGACGCTGGAACAATTCGTCAGCCTGGCCCGTAATGATTGCCAACAAGATAAATAGCGTTGACAAGGTAGAAGCACAAGGAGGCCAAAAATACAAAACCATGCCAGATGGTCAGATGGAATTCGAGCCGATCCAATACGAAGAATACGATGCCGCTCGAATAGATGACGCCGCCCAGGATGCTGCCAAACACTGCAGGCATCGGGAACAACCTGTAGATTGTCGGCGCGACGGCGAATACAGCCCAACCCATGACCAAATAACGCACTATGTCCAGCTTATCGGCCCAGGACCAGGCAGCACTCGCACCCTCTCTACACCTCGGAAGAGCAACAACCATAGGGGCCGCAAGGCTGTGCCCCCCATGGGAAAGGATGATAGGGAAAAGGGAAGGGTTAGATACTCGTTCTGGCGAGCTCCACACATGCGTCGGTGCTGCGCCGAACGTCCGTCGACTTGAGTCGAAGTCGAGTCAAGATATAATGTGGAACCGAAACCGAGGGAAAGTCGGGCACATCCGTTTCGTGGGCCCCCAGGAAAAGATCCCCCAAAACGACCATGTCGAAGAGGGGGGTCAGGTGGGGAGGAAGGGAAGGACAGCCGAGGATGCCAACTCTGACAATTTCCTCCTGCGCCCGTGATTACCGCCAACCGCACAGGGAGACCAGCTCCGCGCAGACGCCGATGCAGCCCAGGACGCACACAAACGCTAGGGTCCACCAGGCGTCGATCTGCAGGCACATGGGGGCGTACGCGCCGACGATCATGGAGTTGATGCCGATCTTGTCGAGGCTGTACAATACCTTGGGAGGCAACTCCTCGGAGGTCTTCGCGTGAAACGTCACAAGGCACTAGTCCCGATTGGGGGGCCAATGGGCCCGATCAAACAAGGGTTGGAACTCGATTCAGCGGGATTGACAGGGTATAAGAAACCAACTGCCCCTGATAATAACATCCTCGGGGTGAGAAAATTCGGGATCCGGGAGATAATCAATCCCAGCAAGTCGAGCGAAGGATGCCTGACGAGGAACACGGAGGTAGTCATGGTCGTCGTCGCAAGAAGACGGCGACGACAACGACGTCGACCTAGCCCTGCCACACATATGATAATAAAGGGGGGCAGAAAGGACAGACAAGGGGAGGAGAGGAGAAGAGGTGGGAGAGGAGAGAGGCCCAAGGACAAATTCTTCCCCCGCTCAAAAACTGGAGGACATCTGCGTGTGAACCATTATTTTCGGCGTTTTCCACATCACATGTGTAGGAGCTTATGGTGGCGCGTTCCCAATGATACCAGAGAGTGCCCGGGATGAGAGAAGTTCGGAGAGGGGGGGGGGCCAGGGGGGAAAAAGGGAGAGAGAGCAGCGGTAATAGAAATAGAAAATCGGCTATTCTAGTAGTGCTAGCGGTAGTAGTAGTAGTAGTAGTAGTAGTAGTAGTAGTAGTAGCAGTAGTAGTAGTAGTAATAGTAGTAGTAGCAGTAGTAGTGGCAGTAGTAGTCGTAGTAGTAGTCGTAGTAGTCGTAGTAGTAGTAGTAGTAGTAGTAGTAGTAGTAGTAGTAGTAGTAGTAGTAGTAGTAGTAGTAGTAGTCGTAGTAGTAGTAGTAGTAGTAGTAGTAGTAGTAGTAGTAGTAGTAGTAGTAGTAGTAGTAGTAGTAGTAGTAGTAGTAGTAGTAGTAGTAGTAGTTGCAGTAGTGGTAGTAGCAAGGGTAATATTAGTAGTCGTAGTCGTCGCGGCAGTAGTCGTATTAGTAGTAGCCGTCGTCGTCGTCGTCGTAGTAGTAGTAGTAGCAGTAACGAACATAGTGATACCCGTGCTCTTAGCAATAGTAATACTAATAAAAGCTGCAAGTGTTGAAACACTGGTGGCAATACTAATCGTAGTAGTAGTCGCTGCAGTAGAATATATTAGTAACGGTAGTAGTAGCAATAATAGTTCTAGTAGTAGAACTTGTAGTCACAGTAGTAGTAGTTGTGGTAGATTTCGTTTATTGCTAGTAGTAAAAGTAGTAGTAGTAGTAATAGTAGTCGTAGTCGTAGTAGTAGTAGTAGTAGTAGTAGTAGTAATAGTAGTAGTAGTAGTAGTAATAGTAATAGTAGTAGTAGTAGAAATAGTCGCACGAGTAGTAGTAGTAGTAGTAGTAGTAGTAGTAGTAGTAGTAGTAGTAGAAGTAGTAGTAGTACTAGTAGTAGTAGTAGTAGTAGTAGTAGTAGTAGTAATGGTAGTGGTAGTAGTAGTACTAGTAGTAGTAGTAGTAGTAGTAGTAGTAGTAGTAGTAGTAGTAGTAGTCGTAGTGTTAGTAGTAATAGCCGCGGTAGTAATCAGAGTCGTAGTAGCCGCCACAATCGTAACAATAGGAGTAGGAACAGAAGCGGTGGTAATAGTAATGGCACAACAAATACTAGAAGTAGTATTCGTAGTCGTAGTAGTAGTCGTAGTTAAAGTAGTACTGGTGGAATGGGACAAACATAATGGGGGTGTTCGAGGGATTGGTCGTAGTCGTAGTCGTAGTCGTAGCCGTGGTCGTAGTAGTCGTAGTCGTCGTCGCATTCGTCGTGAAAGTAGTCGTATGTATAGTAGTAGTAGTAGTAGTAGTAGTAATAGTAGTAGTGGTAGTAGTAGCACTAGTATTCGTAATAGTACCAGTCGTAGTAGTAGCTGCTGTTGTTGGCATACCAGTAGTAGGCATCGTAGCAGTAGTAGTAGTAGTAGTAGTAGTAGTAGTAGTAGTAGTAACACTAATGATAAGAACGGCATCGCTAGTAGTAGTAGTAGTAGTAGTAGTAGTAGTAGTAGCAGTCGTCGTATTAATAGTAATAGCCAGTTGAAGTTGTGGTAGTAGTAGCACTCGAAGAAGTAATCAACATAGTAAGAGCAGCAGTAGTGGTCGTGGTAGCAGTAATAGTAGTAGTCGCTGTCGTCGTAGCAGTCGTAGCCCTAGTAGTAGGAGTATAGTGATAGTAGTGGTGGCATTCGTAGTCGTAATACCAAAAGAGAGCGTGGTGCTAGCCGTAGTAGAAGTAGTCGTAGCAGTAGTAGTAGTAGTAGTAGTAGTAGTAGTAGTAGTAGTAGTAATAGTAGTAAGTAGTAGTAATAGTAGTAGTAGTAAGAGTAGTAGTGATCTAACAAATAAATGGTGGTCGTTGAAGGAGTAGGCGTAGTCGCAGTCGTAGTCCTACATATAGTCGTAGTAGTCGCAGTAGCCGTAGTAGCCGTAGTAGTCGTAGTAGTCGTAATAGTCGTAGTCGTGAGGGTAGCAGTAGTAGCCGTAGTAGTAGTAGTAGTAGTAGTAGTAGTAGTAGTAGTAGAAGTAGTAGTAGTAGTAGTAGTAGTAGTAGTAGTGGTAGTAGTAGTCGTAGTAATAGTAGTCGTAGCAGTAGTCGTAGTAGTAGTAGTAGTAGTAGTAGCAGCAGCAGTAGTAGTAGTAGTAGTAGTACTAGTAGTAGTAGTTGTAGTCGTAGTAGTAGTCGTAGTAGTAGTAGTAGTAGTAGTAGTAGTAGTAGTAGTAGTCGTACTAATGGACATCGCAAAAGCAGTGAACATGCAAGAAGTAGCAGCGGTTGCCTAGTAGGTGACGACGCGCCCGTCCGCGTAGTCCCTAGTAGTGAACCGTTCCTCTGATGATGTTTCGCTGTCGTTTGCATTAGTTTGCATCGTCTTGTGTGCTTTGGAAGCTTATGCGGCCCATGTCGGGCCCCATAATGAACATTTGCAATCCAGGTGTTCCATTTGCTTTCTGGGTTTAAACTGGTCCCCGTCCCTCTAATCGGGCATGATGGAACCGAACGCCCTGTCCGTCCGGGCACCCCGTTGTCGAAGGTGGAGGATGATGAGTTGGAGCAGGGTGGTGATGATGGTGATGCTGATGTTGTTGTGGTGATGATGATGGTAATGGTGGTCACGATGAGGGTTGGGATGATGCTCCTGATGATGATGATGATGATGATGATGATGATGATGCTGTTGATGATGATGACGATGATGCTGCTGATGATGATGATGATGATGATGATCACGATGCTGACGACTAGGAGGAGGTGATGACGATGATGCTGGTGACTTTTGGGCTCTCTTGGGAGTGCTCTTGGAGCCTTCCTACAGTTTCTCTGGGGGTCTTGGTCCGTCTGGAAGCCCATTGGGGCGTTTCGGGGCGATCTGTCGCAACATGGGGCACTCTTGAATCGTCTTCGGGGCCTCTTGGTGTCCTCGTCGTCCGTTTGGGGGTTGCTTGAGCTTGAAAAAAAAGCACGCGACAAGCCGCGACGCGCCCTAGGAACTACGCGGGGAGCCCCGACGGATTTAGTGATTTGGGTTCGGGCCCCTTGAAGAATCTTCTGGATGGAATTTTCGTTGGAATTCCTGAGGGTTCTTAGGGATCCGTAGGGATTGCTGAGGATCCCTAGGGATTCCGATGGATTCCTAGGGGTCGTAGGGATTCGTACGGATGTCAGGCAGTCCTAAGGATTCCTAGGGAGTCGTAGGGATTCGTCGGGATTCCGAGGTAGTGAATCCCTTAGGAATCCTTGCACATCGAAGGGATTTGTAAAGGTTCTGAAAGATTTCACTAGGGACCCAGACGGGCGAGGCGTTCGGTTTGCGCAATGAGTCTTAAGGATTCGCTAGGGATTCTCAAGGATTCGTAGAGATCCCTAGGGATTCCTGGGATTTCCTAGGGAGTCGTACGGAGTCGTAGGGCTTCCTAGGGAGCTGTAGGGATTCCTAAGGATTCCTAGGTATCCCTGGGAATTCCTGAGGATTCCTAGGGAGTCGCAAGGATCCCGAGGGATTCCTAAGAATTCCTAGGGAGTCTTAAGGATTCGTAGGGATTCCTAAACAGATTCCTAAGGATTCCTATGGTGTCCTAGGGATCCCTAGGGATTCCCAGGGAGTCGTAGGAATTCGCCGGGAATCCTAGAGATTCCAAGGGATTCGTAAGGAGTCGTAGGGATTCCTAGGTAGTGAATCCCTTAGGAAGCCTTGCGAATCGTACGGATCTCTAGGGGTTCCTCAGGATTTCACTAAGGACCCCGACGGACAAGGCGTTCGGATTGCGCAAGGAGTCTTACGGATTCGCACGGGATTCCTAAGGATTCGTAGGGATTCCTAGGCATTCCTAGGGAGTCGTAGGAAGTCATAGGGGTTCCTAGGGATTTCTAAGGTATGGATTCCTATGGATTCCTAGAGACCCCTCGGGAGTCGTAGTGATTCGCAGGAATTCCTAAGGATTCCTAGGGAGTCCGAGGGACTACTAACGATTCCTGGGGAGCCCTTGGGAGTCGCACGGATTCCTAAGGATTCCAAAGGAGTCCTACGGATTCCGGAGCATTCCTGAGGATTCCGAAGGATTCCTAGGTAGTGGAATCCTCAGGAACCCTTGCAACTCGCAAGGATTCGTAAGGGTTCCTGAGGATTTCACTCGAGACACAGACGGGCAAAGCGTTCGGTCTGGGCAAGGAGCCTTAAGGATTCGTACATATTCGTATGGAATTCTACGGATTCCTTTGGATTTCTAGGGAGTCGTAAGGCTTCCTAGAATTCCCATGGATTCGTAGGGAGTCCTAGGGATTCCTACGGATTGCTAGGGACTCCTACGGATTCTGTTTGAAGGATTTGCAAGGCTTTGCCAATCGTGAGGATGTGTAGGGGTTCCTGAGAATTTCACTAGGGACCCGGACGGGCAAGGCGCTCGGTTTGCGCAAGGAGTCTTAAGGCTTCGCATGGGCTTCCTGAGGATTCGTAGGGAATCCTCAAGATTCATAGGAGTCGTACGGAGTCGTAGGGGTTCCTAGAGAGTCGTAGGGATTCCGATGGACTCCTAGGGATTCCGAGGGATTTCAAAGGATTCCTATGGATTCCTTGGGGGTCGTAGAGATTCCGAAGGGTTCTTGGGGAGTCCTAGGGATTTCAAGGGAGTCCTAGGGAACGTAGGGATTCCTAGGGAGTCGTAGGGAGTCGCAGGGGTTTCTAAGGGGTCCTCAGGATTCCTTGGGATTCCTAGGCATTCGTAGGGATTCGTAGGGATTCCTACGGATTCCTTTGCATTCCTACTCCTAGGTTGCGAAATCCTCAGGAACCTTTTGCACATCGAATAGATTTGTAGGGGTTCCTAAAGATTCTCAAGCATTCCTGGGGATTCCTGTGGAATCCCATGGATTCCTAGACATTCCTGAGGATTCCAAGAGGATTCCCGGGGAATTGAGTCCTTAGGAGTCTTTGCAAATCGTGAGGATCTGTACGGTTTCCGAAGGATTTCACTAAGGACCTGGACGGGCAAGGCGCTCCGTTTGGGCAAGGAGTCTTAAGGATCCTACGGATTCCTACGGAGTCGTCTGGATTCGCAGGGGTCCCTTAGGATTCCCTGGGATTCCTAGGTTTCGTAGGGACTCCTAAAAATTCCCAAGGATCTCGAAATATTCCTAAGGATTCTTCGGGATTCGTAAGGATGTTGTAGAAATCCTTGCAAATCGGGAAGATTGGTCAGGGTTCCGAAGGATTTCGCTAGGGACCAGGACGGGCAAGGCGTTCGGTTTGCGCAAAGAGTCTTAAGGATTCGTAAGGCATTCATAAAAATTAGCCTGACGAGGGACCCAACCATATACAGGTGTGAGTACCGCAATAGTGATTCACTTTTTCGGTGGCGATCCCTATGAGGCAACGAACCGTGCTAGGGGTGTGCCGACATGAGTGGCGTGGTACACAACGCGAACGAAAACGATTGATCTGAGTACGTAGGGAGACTGAGCGCGGGTGAATCTGCGCGCGTGCGTCTGACTGTGAATGAATCTGCGTGCGAACGAGTCTACGTGCATGAATGCGAATATGACAAAGCGTGGCGCAATTGTGTATGAATGTCAATAGTTTGACAATGTCTGCCTCTGAGTACTCGTGACGCTGGGCGTGGCCGCCGCAAGGAGCTTCCCCGGGACTCCCCGACGGCATCGCCCGCGCGCCGCGACGCCAATGTCGGCGCGCCCACCGGCGAGGATCGCGCCCGCTTCCTCCCCTTCCTTTACTCCCTCTTTGCCCGCGCACTCAAAAGTCCAAGGTTGCGGGCGCAGCGCAGCGCGGAGTCCCCGCGACGCGCGCAGGTCGCCCCGGAGGGGTCCCAGCGACGCGCGCGGGTCGTCCACTGCGCGGAGCAAAAAGAGCTAGCTGGCTGGCTGATAGCGGGCAAGGCTCTTGCCGCTGGGCAGAGAGACGACGGGACGCATGCGGGCACACCCACTGGGACCTTCGGTGGAGCTCCCTATGGGGCCACGAAACGTGTGAGGGGTGTGCCGGGACGCATGCGGGCACACCCACTGGGACCTTCGGTGGAGCTCCCTATGGGGCCACGAAACGTGTGAGGGGTGTGCCGAAATGGGTGTGCGGGACGCATGCGGGCACACCCACTGGGACCTTCGGTGGAGCTCCCTATGGGGCCACGAAACGTGTGAGGGGTGTGCCGAAATGGGTGTGCGGGACGCATGCGGGCACACCCACTGGGACCTTCGGTGGAGCTCCCTATGGGGCCACGAAACGTGTGAGGGGTGTGCCGAAATGGGTGTGCGGGACGCATGCGGGCACACCCACTGGGACCTTCGGTGGAGCTCCCTATGGGGCCACGAAACGTGTGAGGGGTGTGCCGAAATGGTGTGGGACGCATGCGGGCACACCCACTGGGACCTTCGGTGGAGCTCCCTATGGGGCCACGAAACGTGTGAGGGGTGTGCCGAAATGGGTGTGCGGGACGCATGCGGGCACACCCACTGGGACCTTCGGTGGAGCTCCCTATGGGGCCACGAAACGTGTGAGGGGTGTGCCGAAATGGGTGTGCGGGACGCATGCGGGCACACCCACTGGGACCTTCGGTGGAGCTCCCTATGGGGCCACGAAACGTGTGAGGGGTGTGCCGAAATGGGTGTGCGGGACGCATGCGGGCACACCCACTGGGACCTTCGGTGGAGCTCCCTATGGGGCCACGAAACGTGTGAGGGGTGTGCCGAAATGGTGTGCGGGACGCATGCGGGGGACCTTCGGTGGAGCTCCCTATGGGGCCACGGAACGTGTGAAGGGTGTGCCGAAATGGGTGTGCGGGACGCATGCGGGCACACCCACTGGGACCTTCGGTGGAGCTCCCTATGGGGCCACGAAACGTGTGAGGGGTGTGCCGAAATGTGTGTGCGGGACGCATGCGGGCACACCCACTGGGACCTTCGGTGGAGCTCCCTATGGGGCCACGAAACGTGTGAGGGGTGTGCCGAAATGGGTGTGCGGGACGCATGCGGGCACACCCACTGGGACCTTCGGTGGAGCTCCCTATGGGGCCACGAAACGTGTGAGGGGTGTGCCGAAATGGGTGATGACGATGATGATGAAGATGGGAGGAGGGAGGGGGCAGCGGGAAGGAAGGAAGGAAGGAGAACGCGGGGCACCGTCACTTCAAAACGAGGACCCAACACCACAGGATGGTTGGGAAAAATATTCGTAGGGATTCGTAGGGGTCCCTAGGAGTCGTAAGGCTTCGTAAGGATTCCTATGGAGTCGTAAAAAGTCCTAGGGGGTCCTACTCCTTAGGACCCCGCGCAAACCGTAAGGATTCGCAAAGGAACCGAAGGATTTCACTAGGGACCCGGACGGGCAAGGCGTTCGGCTTGCGTACAGAGTCTTAAGGATTCGCACGGGAGTCCTAAGGACTCGTAGGGATTCCGAATGATTCCTAGGGAGTCGTACGGAGTCGCAGGGATTCCTAAGGATTCCTTAGGTGTCGTAGGGAATCCGATGGATTCCGAAGGAGTCGTAGGGCGTCGCAGGGATTCCTAAGGATTCCTGGGGAGTCGTACAGATTCGCATGGATTCCTAAGGATTCCCAAGGATTCCCAGGGAGTCGTACGGAATGCTCAGGATGTGTATGGATTTGCATGGATTTCTCAAGATTCCGACGGATTCCGAAGCATTCCTAAGGAATCATATGGATTCCTAGGCAATGAAATCTTAGGGCCATCCGCCAAATGCCGATGCAGAAACAATCGAACCTCCCAGGAGTGGCATCCCAAAGAACCTCTGCCTGGCTCCAGTCCCAGGACAGGAGGTGGTAGAACGCCGACAGATTCAGCATCGCAACGAGCCCGACGCCGAAGGCGAGGTAGCCTGCTGTCTCACTGAGGGGGTCCCCGGCCGCAGTCGACATGATGACCAGAGAGCACAGGCCCGGCCACGACAGCCCCGCCCCCAAGAAGTTCACTACGCGGTCGGCCAGTAGCTCCCTTCGGGTGTAGGGGCGCCTCGGCAGGAATCAACAGCATCGAACAAGCGAATCGGATCGAACCGGCATGCGCATCGGACCGAGCTGCATCGCCACGGAGCCGACATAGATCCAGATCGGCCGCGTCAGGACGCACAGCTAAACCATGCATTGAGCAGGGACCGCCCGTTCCGGCATTTCTTTAGTCCTACCACGAAATGTTCTTTGAACCCCAAAATGTTCTAAGAACAAAAACAATGTTCTTAGAACACAAACCCGATGTGTCAAAACAAGACAGTCCCAGCCAGAAATGCTCTAAGAACATCTCGTGGAAGACACAACAGGTTCTTAGAACATTGTTTGGTAGGGCTATAGGCACGCCGGGACGCTTCGCCACTGCTTGAATGCATCATGCAAGCATCGGGACGCACCGGATCGTGGAACATGGGCATCGGACAGGGTCGAGCTGGACAGCGGATTGACGGGCCTCCTGCGGGTGGTTCTCGGACCAGAGCTCGGGCCTCCAACGGCCGGGCGAGGCTGGAAAAACGGCTCTCGGCGAAGCGCAGCTGCTGGAGAGCAGCCCAGGGCGGAAGAGCCTCCGAGGGCCAACAAGACCGTCGCAGACGACAGGAGACTTCAAACCATCGGTCCGCGGACCCCATCCCAGGGGTCCACCCTGCACAGCTTCTCACTGTGGATCGAGTCTTGATGGTTTGAGCATTGATATTGAGTCGGATTGATCGGAAGTAAACTTAGGTCGGGCATATCCTCCTACAGGCGGAAAGTGGAAGACAAATGGAAAAAACTCAACAAAAACAAAAAAACAAAAAATGCGCCCAAATAATCAAAACATCGTCCCCGGATGATTGTTTAAATTATCTTTGAAAATTCCTCCTGTAGAAGGACGGGCCCGACCAAGAATTGAGGAGGGTGACGAGAAGTACACGCAGATCCACGGCGCTGTAGGGAACAGTGGGTATCAGCTCGGGGATGTTAACATAGGGAACCGAACTCTATACACCGACGCTTTTCCCGACCCTGCGCTGAAATTCGGACAGGAGCGCGGATTCTGGTGTATACGGGATCCTGGTGTATACATTTTTCGTTGCTTCCCCGAGAAAACGGGAAAAAAAAATACACCACACCAGCCCGACGTCGTCCCCGACCCTCGAAAAGTCCTCGGATTGAAAAGCCGCCCGCCACTGGTAATGTATACGCTCCAGTTTCCGAGAACAAAACCCCCTGTAGACGTGGATTCGTGAAACCGACCTCGGGCCCAAACCTGGCGGGCGCAAGCCTGAAAAATGACGGCCGCGGCGCCCTCTCGAGAACAGCAAACGGACAATTGACTAATCGACGAGTCCGGGTGGGGGTTCGATGCAAGGTCGGCGCTTCCTCGTCGATCACCAGACGCTGATCGACGCGAGTGCGCTCTGGAGAAGATATTCCGAATGCAAGGCTCCCTTGGTTTGCTACGGCCGCACCTAGGACATAATAGCATGTGCTTGTAAAAAACTGAAAGCCTCCTCTGGTCAAACTGACGAAGACTCGATCGAGGGCGAAACCCAGCAGACACGAAGATCATTTGGACACCCTCCCCGAACCGACCTCGACGTTACACCTCGGGCCGACCGCACCGAAAAGAAGAAGAAGAACAACAAAAACATAAACATGAATTTTTGGCGCTCCGCGCGGATATTTTTGGATCTGCGCCAGAACCCCCTCCTTGGCGCGCGGAGCGCGCCAGGGGCGGCGCCGGAGGCGCCGCCGGGGGGGCCCGGCGCGGATCCAAGAACTCCGCGCGAAGCGCCAACAATTTATGCTTGTGGTGTTTGTTCTCTCTTCTTCGACCGAAAAATCCCGACAGCGAGCCGCATCGATCGGAATCGAATCCGACCCCACCTCGGGGGCAACCAAGAGGTACCGATACCGCTACTTCCCGGACCGCTCCCAGGGTGCGTTCTGACCAGGATTTCGAGGCGAATCCAGCGGTGGCGACGACAGAGGCCCAGGATGCCCAAAAAGAGGGAAACGAGGAAAGGGTAGAGGTATGGGTACCTTTTCCTCCTCTGAACCTCGGGGGCTTGTACCACTGCAGCGCGAACCCTACCCCTAACCCCCTCAGAAGTCGTAGGGGTAGGGGTAGGGTTCGCAGGTGGCCCCCTACGAAGAATCCCGACATCGAGCCGCATCGATCGGAATCGAATCCGACCCCACCTCGGGGGCTTGTACCACTGCAGCGCGGCGCTGAGCGGCTCGCCCGCCACCAGCAGCCGCGGCCGCGACCTGCGCGCTCCGGTCTCCTCGGGGCCGCCCGGCTCGTGGCCCGGGGCCGAGGGCGCGGCGCTGGCGTCGCTGTCGCTCAGGGAGAGCGAGGAGGAACCTTTGAGCAGGGACCGACCGTCCCGGCATTCCTATAGTCCGACCAGACCACGAAATGTTCTTAGACCCCAAAAATGTTCTAAGAACAAAAACAAGGTTCTTAGAACATAAGCCCGATGTGTCAAAACAAGACAGTCTCAGCCAGAAATGCTCCAAGAAAATTTGGTGGAAACCACAAAAGGTTCTCAGAACATTGTTTGGTAGGGCTATAGTAGAGCTATGGGCGAGCCAGGACGCTTCGCCACTGCTTGAAGCCTCGGGCCCTCGCAAGCGGAGGCGCTCCCACACCTCTTCCCCAAAGACCCCCTCCCGTCGCACAAAAAAAACGACGGAGCTTGTTGGATTATGAGAGCAAGCTTCCGACCCGCCCAACGTGCATACCACGGCCGCAATTTCCACAGGTTCACCGGTGGTTATGCGGGGATCCCTTCGTGAACCGCCACATACCGATTCCGCCAGATCCCCAAGACCACCGGTGGTCCCGCGGGAATCCTTTTGAATGCTGCCATCTACCGCGGCCGGCAGATCCCCAGGACCACTAGTGGTCCAACGGGGATCCCTTTGTGGGCCGCCACACAGTAAAACAAAACATATCAGAGCACAGCACAACCAACATGATACTATCGGGACACGACATAAGATAGCATACTAGGTTTGCGGACAATCGTATATGGGATATAAGGCCTACCACATCAGCGCAGATCTCCATGTAGTATAATGAGATGCTACAATACATAAAAATATCATAGCACTACGCGACCAATGGTGTAAAATAACTCTGAAGCCGGATAACTAGCACATGCAATAACATAGCATAACGAAACATGACCGTTCGGAGCATGACCCTACGTAAAACGATATAACCACAAACGGTAGCCGAATCTAGCCCAATACACTGTGAGGTAACAATAAAAAAAGAGTCCAGAACAGAGCATACCTGAATTGGTAACGTATCTAACGTGAAAAGCGTCACGACGTCACGCTGGCCCGTCGAGAACAGAACAGAACAGAAAATAATCATCCGACCCCTGCTTGCCGAGGGTGCAAAGGCGTGTTTGACGATTGGCTGTCCACCTCTTCCCTTTCCCCCTCCCGTGGGGTGTGCAATCCGATTGGAGGGGGGTTACCCGGGTGGGGGTCCCAAGGTGGAGCCCAGGAGGAGGGGTGGCGTCTGGGCTCCTCAAAGCTGCCTCGGGGTCTCCAGAGACTCCATTTCTACACTTCATAGCCCCGAAGATGCCACAGACTTCATTGAAGCCTGATCGAGCTATGTCTGCTTCATCGCGGTAATGATAAACTTTCTTAGTAAGCGTGGGTCTGGGTATGAGCGGGTCTGAGGATGACCGGCTGAATATGAGCAAGTCTGAAAGGGAGTGTGCCCTGCTGCTGAGTGAGTCTGAGGTCTGACTGAGTATAAAGGGTCTGAGCATGCATGGGTCAAATTGTGAGTGGGTATGAATGTGAGTGAATCGACGTGGGAATAACTAGATATTAGTGGGTCTCACGAGTTGAAGGGGAGGAACAGGAGGAGGAGGAGGAGGGCGGAAGGAGTTGAAGGCGGAAACATCACACAAATAGCAAGAACACACTTGTTGAATATGGAAGAATCACGGCAACATTTTTGTTGTTTTGCCATGTTTGGCCTCTGGGGGGCCTTGCTGGGCCGCAGGGCCGTCAGGAAACGATTCGGGATGCAATGCCGACCTCGTGAAAGCGGTCTAGACATATGGGGGTCTGCTGTCTGAAAAAAAAAACAAAAAAAAAAACGTCGGAGATCTTCGTTGTCAGACCCGCATGGAGACGCGAAGAACTATTTTTTGTTCTTAGCGTCGGTGCCCCTGTCAGCTCAGGTCCACGTTTGTGGCGTCCTCAGAACCCTGCGACGAGCTGCCAGCCGAAACGAAGTGCGCCTGGGTACCACACTCGAGCTCGCTGAACCGCTGGCCCGATGCGCCCAGACGAGGGTCCAATGACTGCGCGAGCCCCGCCATGTGAGGTCCGCAGGGTGGCAGGCGCGAGCTGCCTTGAGGGCTTGGGCCAGAACATAACTCGGAGGTGGACGGGGGTGAGATCGACGTGGGACGGAGAACCCCCCACTGGGAAACCGGCCTCGGTTTCGGACTCGTGCCGCGCGCCCGGGCGGGGCGAAGCTGTGGGAGGGCGACAGGATGAGCCCTCCCCCGGGCTAAGGCACAGCGGGGACGGGAGTCCGCGGTGTCTCGCGGTGTCTCCATTGGTGTCCCGATGGTGTCCTGGTCGTACGGTGTCCCGCCGTGGTGTCCCGATAACGTCCCGTGGTGTCCCGTGGTGTCCCGCGGTGGCCCGTGATGGTGTTCCGTGGTGTCCAACCGATGGTGTCCCGTGGTGTCCCATAGTGTCCCGTGGTGTCCCGCGGTGTCTCGTGGTATCCCGTGAGATCGATGGTGAGATCGATGATGGAATCGACAGTGAGATCGATAGATATGTGGATAGTGAGATCGATCGTGCGACCGTTCGTGAGATCGATGGTGATATCAATAGTGGAATCGATAGTGAGATCGATAGGGGGATCGATAGGGAGAGATCGGTAGCGAGATCGATAATGGAATCGATCGTGAGATCGACGAAGAGATCGACAGTAAGATCGATAGTGTGATCGATAGTGAGGTCGATTGTGAGGTCGATTGTGAGATCGATAGTGAGATCCATCGTGAGATATATTGTAAGAAGGACCTTGAGAGCGATTGTAAGATCGGTCGTGTAATCGAACGTGAGGTCGATTGAGTGAGACGTTGGTTCCTCCCCCAAAGATGACCTCCTTATCACCCGAAGGGTGGTCGTATAGGTAGGGTGTTAGGGTCGTAGGGTCTAGGGCCATCAGGTGCTGGGGTCTGAGAGGTATAGGAATTTAGTGTCTCGGGGCCTTAGTGTCGCGGGGTCCTGGGGTCTGCGTCCTTTCGGCCAGAATTCCTCAGGGTCCTGGGGTGGTAAGATCGAAGGCCTTCCGATGCTAGAGTCTCAGGGTCCCAGAGGTGTAAGGGCTCAGGAACTAGGGATCGCAGGGTCTTGGGGCCCTCGAGCCATGCGGTCAAACGCTCTGAAATGCTTAGAGCATTTGGGTCTTAAATGCTTCGGGGATTAGGGTCGGAAGGTCTCGCGACATAAAGGCATTTGGTCTTCGGTCTCAGGGCCTGTGGATTTGAGGGCCTTAGGACCTTAGGGACCCAGGACCACAATAGATTGGCGTTTTAGCGTCTCAGGGTATTCGAGTATTGGGGTCGTATGGTCCTCGGGTCTAAGTGCAATCGGGGGTCTAAGGTGTAGGGTACGTTTAGGGGATTAGGGTGAAGGCTCTTAGCGTCTTAGAGTCTTAGAGTCTTTGGGTGTCAGAGTGTTGAGCCCTGGGGTCTACTGCCAAGGGCATAGGATGTAGCGTCTCGGTACCAGGTTCTAGGACTTACGGTTTATGGTGCAAGGTGCAGTGGGTAAGGTCGAGGGTCGGTGGTGACTATTTCCTAAGGGCGGTGGCTGTTTCCGTGAGCCGACATCGAGTGGAGGGGGGGTTTTCGGGATGGGGAGGCAAAAAGGTAGGGGTGGGGGAGCTTCCAGAGGCCGGAAGGCGAAAGGGGGGAGGGAGGGGGGGAGGCTTCGGGCGGGAGCCAAAGGGCGGAGGGGGGGTACCTTCTGTGCGGGGGCACAAAGGGGGGCGAGGGAGGGCTTCGGGCGGGGTGGGTCCAAGGGAGGGATGGTGGGGGGAAGCTTCGGAGGGGCAGGGGGAAGGTAGGGAAGGGGGGGTTCGGACCAGGGAGCCACAAGGGGAGAGGGGGTGTCTTCCATTGGGCGACAACAAGTGGGAGGGGGGCAGGACTTGCGGCGGCGGGGAAGGGTCCAGGGGCGTAGCTAGGGGGGGTATCCACCCCCTCTGCTCCCGCCCTGTGGGTCTTCAGGTCTTCAGGTCTTAAGGGAATTACAGGAGTCTGCCAGCATTTGAGCATCCGAGTATTACTATCTTAAGGTGTGGGGGTCTTCGAGTTTGAGGGTATGACCGATCTCAGGGTCGTAGGTATTAAGTCGTCCAGGGTCTGAGTAGGGTCTTGGAGTACCAGGGTCCCAGGACTTTCGGGTCTTAGGTCCTTTTGGAATCTTGGTCATACATCTGGTCCTAGAACGGTCCTAGAATACTAGGGCGCTTGGGCCTGAGGCCAGTCGGTCTTGTGGCCTTCGGGTCATTGGGCCTTTGGGCGGCATCAGGTCCTTATGGTTTTAAGCATCAAGGACATTAGGGTATTGGGCTCTTGGGCCTTTAGTGCCTCCCGGCGTAAGGGTCCCAGGATCTTACGGTCGTATGGCCTGGGGATAATCGGAAATGTGGGTGATGATGTCCGCTGGGGCTTTGCGTATTCGGGCCTTGGTGCCAGTTTCGCACTGCCTTAGTGTCTAAGTGTCAAGGTCCTAGGGTCTCACGGTATTGGGGTCTTACCTTCGTGCCTAAAGGCCTCATGGACTTTGCGTTTGTTCTAGCAGCAAATGCAATCGAGACAGCTGCTCCAGGCGCGCCCCCACAAACCTGCGTGAGATGATAAATAGCGTTCTGCCGAAGACATCGACAACTCAGGGCATCCGGACGCTTCTGTGCGATTGCCTCACACTCGGTACCAGTCGCTGGCGTCTGCGCCTGCGACTAGCGAGGGGCTGAATGGGGCCTGCCGAGAGACTGAAGCAATGGATCTGAAATATAACATGTTGAAATGTATGGATGGTCAGTTCCACCCTCCCATGCACCACGCGCATCCAAAGAGGCAACAACCTTCAGGCTCACCTCGTCATAATCTCGTCGCCGACGTCTAAGGCCGCCACGCGCCGAGAATATACGCTCGACTGGCACAGATGGCGCAGCAGACCAGGCAGCTGATCGTGGCAACGATGACAAAGTAGGCTGCCTGATACCCCCATAACGTGGTATCCTCTACCGTATCAACGGCGCTTGACTCGCTTGAAGTGATCGACATGCCATTGGTGTTGGTCGTGGCCGTCTCACTGGTCGTCACCGTCGTAGCCGACAGTGGCGCTGGCGTTGGCGCACTCTCAGAGGTCGTGTGCGGAGTCGTGGTGGAACTCAAGGTCGTCGAAGAACTCGCAGAGGTGCTGTGCGAAGTGGCGGTGAAGCTCGTGGAACTCGCGGTCGTCAAAGGTACAGTAGCGCTGGAGCTCGCAGAGGTTGTGTGCGGAGTCGTGGTGAACTTACAGTCGTCGAAGAACTCGCAGAGGTGCTGTGCGAAGTCGCGGTGGAACTCGTGGAACTCGCGGTCGTCGAAGATACAGCAGAGCTTGAGCTCTCAGAGGTCGTGTGCGGAGTCGTGGTGCTTGCAGTGGTCGTGTGCGGGTTCGTTGTGGAACTCGCGGTCGTCGAAGAAGTCGCAGAGGTCGTGTGTGGTCGTGGAAGAACTCGCGGTCGTCGATGCCACCTTTTCACAAAGCTTATAGTACTGATGCTGGCTGGGGCCAAGATCAGCGGTTTGAGTGCATAGGTAACCATAGGCCCCATATCCGAATGCTTCGGCGTAATCTGAACATTTGAAACCGAGGTTGCAGGCGGCAGCGACGTCCGGTTCAATATCACTTGTTCAACTTTTGAAGCTGCTTCAAGTCGCACCAACCGCACGACTATATCCCGCCAGCGCGTCTGGGCAAGGGAGGTCAAACACGTACGTCGACCCGCTTGAAGTCTTGAGGCCAGTGCCATGCTCGCACCCAACCACCACCCAGGCCTCATCGGCGTTAACGGCCACCGAGCACCCGAAGGGCCACGAGATTCGCCAATTGCGCGCCGCTGGCCCCGTCGAACACGTACGCGGACCCAGACGAGTCACCCAACGTCGTCGTCGTAATAGGTCCCCACTGCCGCCCGAGACCCGTCTGCGCTCACGGCCACAGACATCCCGAAACACTCATCGGCGGCCCCGTCCGCGGCCTCCAGATTCGCCAACTGCGCGCCGCTGGCCCCGTCGAACACGTACGAGGACCATGACCCGTGTTCCATGGCATCGGCCCCCACAACGACCCAAGCCCCGTCGCCGCGCACAACCACCGAGAGCCCGAAGTACTGGCCCTCGGCCTCGTCCGCGGCGACGAGCTTCGCCAGCATTGCCCCACCAACACCATCGAAAACGTACGCTGACCCAGAGCAGGGCCAGCGTCGTCGTTGTAGTGGGCCCCCACCACAAACCGGGCCCCATCGGCGTCAACGGCCAGAAAGTTTCGCCGCGGAAAGAGTCCGCGGCAACGAGCTTCGCCAGCTGCTCGCCACTGGCCCCGTCGAACACGTACGCGGACCCAGACGCCTCCCCGGAATCGTCATCTTAACTGGCCGCCACCACCACCCGGGCCCCGTCGGCGCTCACGGCCACCCTGCCCCCGAAGTAGTCCATGCTCTCCCCGTCCGCGGCCACGAGCTTCGCCAACTGCGCGCCGGCGGCGTCGAACACGGACGTGGACCCAGACGTAGGCCCGGCGTCGTCGTCCAACGGAGACCCCACCACCACCTGGGCCCCGTCGGCGCTCACGGCCACCGAGTTCCCGAACAAGTCGTCTGTGGCCCCGTCCACGGCCACGTGCTCCGTTAGCAGCATAACAGCGAAAGTTTCAATCATCCGTCGGCTGAGCACATGGTCGAAAGTACCCGTCGGAGCTTGTGTCGGTAGTGCTGGTGTCGGTGGCGGAGCGGGCGTCGGCGGTGGTGCTGATGTCGATGGTGGTGCAGGCGTGTGCTGGTTCTTGAGGTAAGTGCAGGCCCTGCTGTCCGTGCTTCCCAGTCCGCCACAATGTCACTGATCGCGCTGTAGCAACACCGCGCTCCAGTGTCCGCGCACCCGGTGCCATGCAGGGTATGACAATCAGGATCTGCGTTGCACGCCGCTTCTTCAGCATCAATCCTGGACGACGTTGTGCTGTAGCATAGACCCGACCACGCAGAAGTGGCCACTCACGGGCTATCAATGTACAATGCTTCGTTGATTACGGGGGTCGCCGTCGCATTGCCGGAGACCATTATAAGACACATCGGCAGAAAGACTACATCACGCGTGCTCGGATGCGCATCTGCAACCTCCGTAATGCATTGACGGTGACCTTCCACGCAATTCCAAAGTTGTGCTGTCGCTGCTGCCAGGTGGAACGGATGGTCCAGCGAGTGGTGCTGGTGGTCAGAGTCGTGCTGGTCACAGTGGCGCTGCTGGGTGTGCTTGGGCTCCTGGTGCTCGTCGCGCTGATCACAATGGTGCTGCTGGTTGCGCGGGTGCACCCGCGCGTGGTGCTGTCGGTGTGACTCGTGGTCGTCACAAACCTACACTCCGTGGCCTCCAAGATGCCCAGCATGCCATCTCAGCGAGCTAGGCTCCAACACGCCGAGGAGAGCTCGAAAACAACCAAGATGGCCTCACGACTGCCAAAGCGCCCCGCTGCGACCCGCACGGCTCGTCCCCGCCGTGCTGGGCAACTCGGAGAGCGCGGGGGGCACGTCGTCGAGCTTCAGGCCGGACCAAGGGCTCGGCGGACCCGGGAACCAGACGTACTCGGTCGCGTGGATGGAATCGCAGGGCATCACCGATACCTTGGTCTTCGGGCGGAGCCGCAGGCAGCTCGGGCCACCGCTACGGGAGCTACACTGTCAATGCCGCGCTTTCCTGTGGCTTTGCGGTGTTCCTGCTCGCAACGCACACCGCCAGAGGCGGCGGAGAGCTTGAGAGATCCACCTACCAAAAGGGCCACCGATACTTGAGCCAAAATGGCCACGGACCGATGGATTTGGGGTCTTGTGGTCATAGATTCTAAGGAGGTCTGAGAGGCTGGGGCCTTAGGGCATTCGGGAGGGCCTTGGGGATTCGGTTTCTAGGGCCTGCTGGTCTTACAGTCTCCAAGTCTCCAAGAATTCAAAGCCCGCCCGCCCGCTCGAATGTCTCGCCCGCCAGAGCCGCCCGTCAGGGTTCCCCCTCATGGAGGAATGATCCTTGTGAGGGCGGTGGGCAAGAGGATGAGGATGAACATAAGGTGTAATGACGATGAGGATAATGCGGATAATGACGATGACGACGCGGGCGATAATGATGGTGACGATGGTGGCATTGGTAATGATGGTGTTGACCAAGACGACGGAGATGTGATATTGATGATGATGATGAATATGGTGGTACCGGTGATGGTGATGGCGATGATGATGACAATGATGCTCAGGATGAATGTAAGCATTGTGATGGGTGGGTGGGAGGGGATGGGGATGCCCAGCGACGTCACACGCAAGGACCAACACACATATTGAGATGGATGGGCAAGATTGTGCTGAATATATTAGCATGCGGTAACGAACAATAATATGAAGGAGGACGATTAAGGTGAGGAACACGGGGACGAGGGGGAACAGGTGGAGGACGAGTGGGGCATAGTGATGGTCGTTTGGATGAGTATGCCCAGGGAGGAGATGTAGATCGAGACGACTGTATCCAGGATGAACAGACATGGATGAACATCATGACATTGAGGATGAGGAGGAGGAAGAGAAGGTGGAGGAGGGAGATGATGATGACAGTGAAGGTAATGGAGATGGTCAAGCGGATGAGGGGATACACGAGAAGCACGAGAACAAGGATGAAGACAAGGAGGGAAACAATGTCGGTAATGCTGCGAGTGGCGATGATGGGAATGAACAAGATCGTAGCGACGACGATTACGTTGATGGTGGTGATGATGATGGTGATGATGGTAATGATGATGGTGGCGTTTATGCAGCTGACGATGATGATGGTGGTGGTAAGGATGATGATTGTGATGGTGCTTATGGTCATGCTGATGATGATGGTTATGGTAGACCTCATGATGATGCTGCTAATGATGAGTGATGCTGATGCTGATGAGGATGATGCCGATGAGGATGATGGCGATGAGGACGATGATGATGATGATGATGATGATGATGATGATGATGATGATGATGATGATGGGCATGATGCTGATGACATGATAGGGAGGGGGATGACGGCGACGACGATGTTCGTGTTGATGATGATGGCGATTGCCGCCGTCATCGGCGGCGAGGACATCGGCGGCGAGGACGTCATCTTCGACGCCCTGATCCTCGTCGGCACGACTCCCTGGCGCCGTCCCGGGCCCCCCCTCCCCCCCAGCCTCCCAGGTCTCCCCGGCCTCCCTGGAGCTCCTGGGCGCCTCCGGACCTCCCGGGCGCCTGAGGCCCTCCCGGGCTTCCCCCAAACGACCAGGGCCTTTAACAAGGAATTGCACCCCCCCGCCTCCCTGAGGGAAACAGAATAAGGGCCAAGGGGATAAAGTCGGCGGCGAGCGAGGGGGGAAGTCAGAGGGAGAAGGCCTTCTCAGAAGGCGGCGTCACTTCTCAGAAGCCCTCACGCCTTCTGATAAAAGGTTTTCTGGGTCTTCGAGGAAGGCTCAAACAACTTCTCAGAATGCTGTGGAACTTCCGAACCTTCTGAGACGGCCCGCCTCGTCTCACTTCCCCCGCGGGCTCGCCGCTGGAAAAAGAACGGGTCGAGGGAACGAACAACAATAGCCCAGGGAAACAAAAACGAAACGAGTGCGCGCTGGGCCCGGGAAACATGAAACGAGTGCGAGGGACAAATAGAAAGGGTTCGGAGGGCATCAAGCCGAAAAAGTGGGAGGGGCACAAAATGGCGATGGGAACATAGGTCGGGGGTAGGGGGGGAACCGCATGTCGGAGGGAAGAAAAGGTGGGGGGAAAAGTGATGTCCGATGTAATATTCGGTGGTAGTGTCACTTCATCGTCTTGAGTGGCGTAATCTCTAGTCTACTACCGTCACCATCGGTAGTAATACTTCGATCGCAAAGACTTGAGAATCATGTCTCCATGGGCTGGGGGTACACACGATGACGGCAGCTAGTATCTATAATAACCACACCAACTGGCTGCGGTTACGAATCCGTCTACTACGGATGGAGAGTGCCCTGGAACGGCCGGCGCAACTGAAAACGTCAAAACGCTTCAGGTCAGCAAAATGGGAGTTGTTGGAACTGCGAAGAGTGTTACGAATGGTATTTATTGTGAATAAGTGGTGCACGGTATTTCTGTCGCACACAATACATCAACACATACTCGGGACGTCAAGGATACGTGGTGATTTCCCCATGATTCATTTTCGCCGCAAACGGCGAGAGACCGAGGAAAAGATGCACAATTAGTCTGCCCCGCCCAATTGCAAGGCAACCGGCCTCGCGTCCATTCGCTATCTACGCCATGGCTGATCTGACGTAATGCTTGTTGGTGGAGCTGCAGCGCCGTATAATAGGAAGATGATGCAAATGGGCACGAATGATACCGTAGGTCGTGCATTGGGAGCGCAGCGCTCGAGTCTGTACTGAGCGCCTGCCCGAAAAACGGTTTGATAAAATATGCAGGAAGGCTGCTTCCGAAAACAACAAGTCCAAGTTGCGCATCACCCCCCCGCACGCCACCATCCTGCATCCTGTCTTGCCAGCCGGGAGAGAGGAGCAGGATGATAAGGTGAGGAGGAGGGGGAGAAAGGGAGCAGAGGAGGAGGGGGAGGGGGAGGGGGTGGGGGAGAGGAGAAGGGTGAGGAGGTGGGAGAGGAGGAGAGAGAGAGGGGAGGAATGCGAGAGGGAAGACGAGGGAGAAGGAGTGAGTAGGATGATCAGGGGGGAAGGAGGGGAAACAGGGGGACGGCGCAGAGGGATAAGTGATGAGGACAATGGGGTGGAAGGATGAACGGGGGGAAGGAGAAGAAAGCGGGCGTCGAATTATGATGTTCCAGCCAACTTTGGCCGTGATCAAAAAATAATTCGAGCACCAGAAAAATAACGAAACTGAAGGGTCTTCACGTGTCGGGCTCCGGGAGGCGATACTCTGTCGAAACTTCGCCAGCATGTCGGGCAGACACTGCTTCGATACTTCTCTGGGTGCTGGAAACTAGTTCTGGGAATCTAATCCTTAACTATGATGTGGAAAACATGAGCGTTGAGGAGCGATGGAGAAGGACGGAGGGAGAGGGGAAGGGAAAAGCAGGCGGTGTGGGACGGGATCGACGAGGGAAGGAGACACGGGGGGGAAACGAGAAACAGACCGGTGGAGGGGAAGAGGGAGGAGGGGGAAAGGGACGACGAGGAGGACGAGGAGAAACATGAGGACGACAAGAAGGAGGGACCCCGAGGAGGGATTGAGTGAGCAGGGGGGGGGAGGGGACGAGCGGTAAGAGGGGGGGGGGACTGGGGGAGGAGGGAGGGAGGGATGCAGGACCAGGGCGGTGCAGACGGAGCAGAGCAGGTGGAGGAAGAGGCAGAGCGAGGAAGGCGAGGAGGATGGGGAGGAGGAGGGGGGCGAGGAGAGGGAGGGAGCAAGTGACGTCATTACAAGGCAATTTTTCATACATCGGATTTTTGATCATCGAGGATGTTCATACATGGTTAACTTAGGAGTAAGTTTATGCATGAACTCATCGTTGTTTGTAATGCTACATCGCTGCATTTTTAATACATGAACCGCACGCGGAGCATGTATTAAAAACGGCACTGTGCATAGAAAGTGGAGGAAGGGACGGCGTGAGGGCGGGCGGGTGGGAGGGAAGACGAAAGGAGGACAGTGAGAGAAACAAATGGATGGACGAAGAAAAAGGCGAGGCCGGGGGCAGAAGCAGAAAGTGGGGAGGAGGGAGGAGGCAGCAATAAGGAGTGAGACGGGAAAAAGGAAGAGGACGGATGAAGAGCGAGGGAGGAAGGACAAGGGGATAAGGGAGGAGAAGGACGGAGACGGAGAAGACGGATGACGAATGATATGAAGATAATCACAATAACATAATAAGGAGACAGGTAATAATGATGATGAGGGAAAAAGAAGACGGCAGGACGAAAAAGATGGAGGAGGAGGAATCAGGAAGGAGAACGGCCAAAGGCACATGGAAAAGGAGGGAGTGACGAAGGAAAAGAGTAGAACTGACGGAAGCTACAGCAGAGACAGAGCCAATAGTAAGACCAGGTACAAGCGTAGTTAACGTAGCGGTAGAAGTGGTAGACTTGGCAGTATCCAATGGCGGTTTTGGCTGCAGTACTAATAATATCAGAAGTTGTCCGAGTTGTAGCCGTAATAGTCGTAGTAATGACGGTCGAGGGAGTATCAATAGAAACAGTAAATCAACGGGTGTTTGGTAGCCTGTCGTCTTGCATTGCTTTGTATTATGTGTGATGCTTGCAGTTGTCTGGTTGCCCTTGCTTCTTTGATGTTTGCTCTTGCTTGCCTGCCGAATTGAATCACTGCAATGGTTGCGACAAGCGCCGCTGGAGGACTAGGAGGATAATCCCCTTTGTGAGGCTAGGGGTCCAAA